CAGCACCAGCTGCATCTGGCCTGGAAGGTGGCCGCGGCTGGCAGCCCGTGTTCCCCACAAGGCTGGGTGCTGGGCTGCAGCCAGGCTGCAAGTACTGGAGCTCCACCCAGCACACTCTCCGTCCAACCTCATCTGCCTGTCTCCCTGAGAATCCCCAGGGAAGCTTTGCTTTTCCTGGCACACAGCATCCTCCTGAGAACTGGTGTCTTTCTGCAGTCAACAGAAAAGATGGAATGAAAACCACACAGATGAAAAGTCATGTCATTTATTAATAATTTCTTTTTTTTTTTCTTCTATAAATTGGAAGGAAAAAGTCTTTGGTGACACTCTCTATAAAACAATCTATCTTGGATGGCGAAACCCAGACATAAAGTTACACAGGTCAGTGAAGTAAATCAAGGTCTATGGCTTTGTATTTTCTCACATGCGCTCTCATACATACTCGAGGGCTTAATTATGCTAAGTCATTAATACTCTATAACAAATGGGAAAAACACTTCAGAAAAGACCTGTGGTGACACTACAAAAACATTGGCAACATATTAGAAAACTCTGTCCCAAATGTACATTGTATACAAAATAAGGTATACTTTTGTTTTTTTGCGTTACAATTTGCCACCTAAAATAGTTCCATTTTTCAATGTCTTTCTTTCTGCCCCTCAACATATCCTATACATAGTCTTCTCTCAAAATAAGTACACAAGGTTCATTACATGGTAACCAGGTCATTTGCATGGCCCTAGTTTTAGGAGTAATTACAACCGAAAGGACAGGGATGTATTCCTGTAGGAGAAGAACAGAAAACTGTTGCAGAAATCAAATGACCTGAGACCTAAAAGGCAAATTATTACAAAACCAGAGTGACTGAAAGGCTAGCCTGACTTGATTTTAAGCAAGGGTGAGACTGGGCCATCCTGAGGACTCAGCTTTCTCAAGGGTTGCCTTCCTCTCCTAGTTACTGGGCCATCGAAGTTCCAGTTCTGGGTAGTTCATCAAGGTTCCTGATATAAAATGTACTGGAACTGTAGACCAGTGACAACTACTAGGTAAAACTCATGGAGACAAAAGCCTTTGAGTTTTAGAAAGGGGAAAAAAAAAAAGGGAGAGAAGGTTTCGAGGAGTCACTTTCATCATCACAATTATGGTATAAGTGACAGCTTTTCTATCCAGAGGTTCTGGAAAGCATTGCTGAATTGATGGGAGAGATGACTGTCTTAGGGTACTCAATCCCCCCTGGCTTAAAAAAAAAAAAAAAAAAAAAAAAAGACTTGGAGCTGGGCCTGGTGGCTTATGCCTGTAATCCTTGCACTTTGGGAGGTGGAGGTGGGTGGATCACCTGAGGTCAGGAGTTAGAGATCAGCCCAGCTAACATAGCAAAACTCTGTTTCTACTAAAAATACAAAAATTAGCCCAGTGTGATGGCACATGCCTGTAATCCCAAATACTAGGCAGGCTGAGGCAGAAGAATCACTTGAACCTGGGAGGTGGAGGTTGCAGTGAGCAGAGATCATGCCACTGCATTCCAGCCTGGGTGACAGAGCAAGACACTGTCTCCAAAAAAACACACACACACACACACACACACAAAAAAAAGACTTGGAGTCAAAGGATAAACTAATCTCTATATGCTGAAGTTCTAATACCAAGTGAGACAAGTTTAGCACAATTTGATATTAATGCTTATTCAGTGAGAACTCAACTCGAAACAACTTTGTCCCTGTAAGCATGCCTGAGAAAATGAGGCTGGCAGTGAAAGAAATTTCTTGGTTAAATCTTACCAAGAATGACAAAACCATATGAAAGGTTCTTGCCCATAGTCGCTGTAAATGCGAACTAGGTAAATGAATTCAGCAACTGGGATCCTGATGTACTGGCTGCATTTTGATTATATTCACAATTAGAAGGCAGGGGTGTTTTTATTTGAGAGTTCATGGCAATAACTGGTACTTTTAAACACTGGAGCTCTCAGAGACCCAAGGGTACACAAGACACTTCCAGGTCTGGGAAGTTTGCTTGGCTTTTGCATCCATAATTTAGCCTTGTCCAGCAAGAATCTCATTCTGTTTCCAACCTAGTAAGGCTGTCTTCTCCCTGATCCTGCCCTCTGAACAGGTTTGTTCTTAAATCAAGTGCCCTGTTGTTTTTTTTTAATGAAAAAACAAAACAAAACAAAAAAAAAAACAGTACATAGGTCTATTCACATTCATTCATCTCACCCCTGATTAAAGTTCAGTAACCTTTATGAAAGGCCACCAGCATAATATTCTTTCAAGTCATCAGGTATTTGAGAACCACCAAAATAAAGGCTAACATAGCCTACTGTAATGAAAATCAAAAGTCATTCTAAAAGGGAAACTGAAGGATGCAACCAGGATTGATCCTTCTTTGAGCACCATTTGTAACAAGAAGAAATTAAACTGTAATGCACATAAAATTCCAGTAACGAGCTTTCCCTTTTTTCTGAAGAGTCTGTCTGAAAGAGTGCTGATACGACCAGGCAGGCCCACCTAGCTATGCTGTCTTTTGTGGTTTGACTATCGTGATTATTTCATGGATTTTTCTCTATAGTCTCAATTTTGAGCCACTTTGAGCTTTTTAAAGATTACTTTTAAGATCCTGCATCTTAATGTGGAGCTGGGAAAAGATGCTGTGTGGAAATCCTTAAGTGGCTGAGTTCTCTTTGGAGTTCTGTGTGTAATTTGTTACGCAGTTGGCACTGTACTCGGCCCTTGGCTTCTCTCCAACGCAGCACATGTTGGCCCACTTAGGGGCCCCTCGTTATCATTAAAGTTGACCAGGAGATAACTCCTGACATCCTACAGAGATGGCTATGATTTGTCAACTTGTGGCAATGCAATACAGCTCTTTCCTAACTGAATTAAAATTATGTATCACTGTCGGTCTTCACTGATTTGTTAAGCATTGTTTTGTTCCCAGCTGTATATTTCAAATGGGAGAAGAACACTCTAGCTCACATCTCAAAGAGATTTGCTCAGAGAATGACATAAAATGAAACTGTGGAGATTTAAAGTAGATGAAAGCTGTGCCATATCCTGTTCTTACTTATAATTACTATTTTTCTTCATAAAACACATGTTTGTGACAGGGCATGTGTCCTATGAGGTTGGTGACAGGTCAGTCTGGCAAAGCAGGTCCTTAAATCCACTCATATGACTGACTGATACAATTAGGGACATTGCTTTGCAAGCCAATATGACCACCTAAGTTTCAAGTTGGTTTGGGGGTCATTGAACAAAATATTGCATTTATTCTTTGTAAAGGAGAAAGATACAAGAATAATTTGCCAATCCTGAAAAACTTAATTTAAATACAAATTTGCAAAGGCCAAATGAGTAAGGCTTAATTGCTAACCCTTTAACTTGCTGAGAAGTGCAGCTTCAATGACATAAAACCTATTATAGCAAACATTTTATAGAAAGACACAAGTGCAAGTACCATGGACTTAAGAATTACTTTTCAACAAATGAGTAAGAGATAATCACATTTACTTAGGGGAAAATGTCATGTTTGAGAATGGACTATGGATGGGTCCAATAAGATGACAGAGGTATTTAGGGAGCTGTTCTGAGTCATGAGGCTGCAGAGAGGAGCCTCTCTTCAATTGAACTTGACTGCCTATGCACCTCTCAACGTAGTATCTACTCCTTGTTCTGCAGCTAGGTAGCCTATTGAATCACCTCTCAGGACTTGTGCAAACACTTTCACTCCTGTTTACCACACCATCCCCGTTCTATCATTGCAAGTTCCTCTTCCTCTCCCAGATGTCTACAAAGGATGAGGTAAAGTCCACTGGACTTATGGTTTCCACTGACCTAAGACTTGAAGTTATCAGAACATAATTTGCTGATTAACTTTTCTTCTAAAAACTAAAAATAAATGGAAAAGAAATATGAAATGTATGAGAGTTTGAGGGCGGAACTCTAAAGTGCTTACTGGTTATTCTGTATAGTAAGTGGTAAAACTCAATAATGTCTTTCTCTTCCCTGTTTTCTCTGGCCTCTTCCAACTAGAAGAAAGCATTCAATATCAGAAGTCTTCATTTTTTTCATAACAGGGAAATGGGTTTTTTTCCAATTTAACAATAATCATAAGCCCAAGATAGCATTTTCAGGGATAGAAATGTTCTTTTCTAGCAAGAAGTATAAGTAAACTTCTCCACAGATTTGAAAATTAGTAAATGAACTGTATTCACATTTGTTTTTGATTACTTTGTTTGCCAGATTCCTGCTCAAAACCATGTTTGACCAAAAATGGCATTAGGGTCCCAGTGGAGAGACTTAAACTCAGTTACTTTGCAGCAATCCTCTTGTTCATTGGTGTGAATTTCCACCTTATTACCCCTTTTTCTTTCTCAATAGAGAAATGTCTGAAACTTGAGATTTTCACAAACATCAAAGAGCTCATCTTATAAATAATGTTCTCCCCAATATACTCATCCTTCCTTGGCTTCGAAACCAAAGCTTCTTCCCAGTACTATGCACTTAGGTCAGTGGTTGAAGCTATGACTGTGGCCATACCCCTGCAAGCACTGGGTTACTTTTGTGGGTATTTCCATCTCGCTAACATGCTGGTGGGTTATCCAGATGGTTCTTTGTGCAAACTGAACATTTCTTAATTATACTAGCGTTTTCTTGGTACTAATTCCCCCCACCCTCTCCAATGAAAAATGATTATCATACGTATCTATCTCAAACATAGAATTTTCAGTTAGAACTGCCTACCTGGAAGTTGTAATACTTGCTTTCATGCAGCGACATTTTAGAGTTAAAAGTTCAAGTGGATTTGAAGATTCAAAGTGGAAAACAATTTGCACTGGCAAAGTTGCATAATGAAGTTACAACTTATGCTCAGTTGTTTCTTGATAATGGGTAGAGTGACTCATTGTGTTTTCCATGAACTGCAGGACACCCTACGTGGCCATGACAATGATGTCTGTGGGCAGAGAAATAGCAGCTTTGAAATATTCACAACCAACACAATTTTGATTAAACAAAGAACTCTGGTTTTTAATAGTTTTGATCATTAAAAAAGTTTAAACCTGCATAGCAATCATTTCAAAAATAATTATTTAATGTTCCATAATTAAACTGTACACAACCTAGTCTTGGGACAGAAGCCAGTGAGGTGAGTTTGGAGCAGTCCAGTGCAGTCCCAGGAGCCAGGAGTCGAGTTCTCATTGGTCTTTTTTTGTTTTGTTTTGTCATTCTGTTCATCTAAGTTTTTGGATAGTTGGCACAATCTGGCTCTGCTGATGAGCGGATCTGCACTGGGAAGAGAGAGCAGCTTGACCCCAGTCCCTTCTCGCTTCCCCTCCCCCACTTGGCTGTATTCCTCAAAGTCGCTCAATGTCTCGGTATTTCTTCCTCAAAATAGAGACCTGGTCTTTAAAAAGGACGGGGTCGAGCCTCATCTGAGAGTGGATCAGCGGCATGTAGCCAAACCAGCTGGCAAACGTATTCATGCAGCTCTGTCGCTGGGCAAAGTGGTCAGGGTCAGCCCAACGGGAAGCCCGAGAAGTCTAGGGAGAAGGAGAGAAACAAGGACGATGATGAGAGAAGTGCCAGGTGAGATGGAAACATTGCAGAAAATAGAGTCGGGCAAATGAGCGAGCAGCAGAGCTCGGGGTCTGGTCCGGCCACCGAGCCTCACCATCTATGAACCTGGTGACAGTGCAATCACTGATGCTGGTTTTTCAGAAGGTATGCTCAGTGTTAAAAACACAAAAACAAAGATTCATGTTGACTTGAATTCTCTAAAATTTATTGACTAATTCTCTGGTCCATCCATGACTTAGCAACCGAACCTCAATTACGACAGTTACTCCATCTAAAACTTCTCTTTGTGCTTGGGACCAAGTACTAAGATAATGTATTGGTGGTTTCAACATTTGTTTTCCACACTCTTCTTGTTTACTTAGTTGATTTAGGAATATCAATAATCAACTTTTAGAAGTCTGTTTTTCTCACTATCCATCACTTCCTCCCTTCTACTATCTCTTTACCTTTATAAGGGTCCTACTGAATACTTTGTTAAAAATTCACATACATAGTTGAAGAAGAACAAAATAGCACCTTTTACACTTCATTCAAGGCTAGTGTTATGCAGCATCTAAAAACTCATTTTCTCTTCTGTAGCCTTCCCATTGAAGTGACTTCATGAGGATGAGAAGGGGAAATGCAGTGGCAGATAGGGCAGGTTGCTGTAACTCTAATTTATACTAAAATCTCAAAATTCTGTTCTTCTCTTAACCCAAGAATTGTTGGCTTTCCTACTCAACTAAAACCCCCAAAGGTTACTTTTTAAAGAGCAATCAGCCCTCCAAAGAATCACTGCTCACCCAGAATAGAAAAAAGGTTAACTCTCAATAATAGAAAAGATGGCTAACATCTTTTTAGCTCTCTGTGTGGCCCCTAAAGTTGGTTAAATATTTTTAGATTATGCAAATGATTGGCATTGATTTAAAAAGAATGCCTCAAATGACTGCAGTGCTGAAATTTAAACAGAATGACTAAGCACATTGTACTTAAATCCCTGCTTTTATGAAATATGGAAAAGATGGGCTGCCTAATTACGGGGAAAAAAAGCCCACAAACTCACTTATGTCAACAGGCAAGTCTTTAATGATGTATATGGATGCATGCATGTGGGGTCAGTGTGTTTGTTGTACTCATATTGTTAGAAAAATACTTCCATGGAAGATACATTTTAGTGTGAGAATCAGTAAGAGTCACTTTAAAACCACAGTGTCAACATGCTTGAAAATAACATTGAAGATAAACACAAATGTCAAGTTCTCTCTGAACAGCAGAATAACAAGCAAAACACTATTTGTAAAGTGTTTTCATGGAGTTCATTTGAATCTCACAACAATCTGGTGAAGTGTCTACCCAGGTAATAACATCCCTATTTTATAGCTGAGGAAGCAAGTTTAAGGAAGTTAGTTTTTTGTTTAAGGCTAGAGAGGGGCAGAACTCAAGCTTCGCTCTTTAGCATTTACATGAGGAGAACTCTACTTGATAAATCAGAGAAAGATATCAAGTGGAGCTGACCGGTTGAGTTCCTATCGGAGTAGACAGTCCCAAAGGTAACTTGTGTTGACCCTAAATGGATATGGGTTTGCGGATTTTTTTTTTTTTTTTTTTTTTTAAAGCAGAGTCTCACTCTGTCACCCAGGCTGGAGTGTGGTGGCGTGATCTCAGCTCACTGCAACCTCCACTACCTGGGTTCAAGCGATTCTTATGCCTCAGCCTCCCAAGCAGCTAGGATTACAGGCGGACACCACCGTGCATGGCTAATTTTTGTATTTTTAGTAGAAATGGGTTTTGCCATTTTTCCCAGGCTGGTTCCAAACTCCTGAGCTCAAGCAATCTGCCTGCCTTGGCCTCCCAAAATGCTGGGATTATAGCATGAGCCACTGTACCCAACCTTTGGACCATTTTTCATTGGCCCACTCATTCCCAAAGGGTGCTATACCCAGGCAAAGATACTCATATATGCAACTGAGAAATACTGGCTAAAGTTTAAGCTCATTCTTATTCACATTATTTTTAAGTTCAGTTGATTCATTCAGGTATTGTTTTGCTTCTAGATGTTAACATTTATTTTGAGTCAACCAACATCTATTAGAAAAGATGTCTTTCTTATGTAATAAAAGCCTAATCCTAGCGGATGATATCCATTTACCTTACCAGTCACACAAACATTCAATAAATTAATTGTATGATGGAAAGAAGGGGACAAATACAGTACCTGAATATACCTGGTTAGACCTAAGATTAAATTTAGATGTTTCTGTAGAGATGTGTGAAATTACTAGAAATACTGTTTTGTAGAATTAGGCCAATCTATTAAAAGAGGACAAATCTGACCCCTAAGAAGCATTGTATGATTAGAGTTCCCACTCAGTGAGTACTCTGAAGAACTCTGAGTAAAAAAATATTTTTTAAATGTCATGTCCTTAAATGAGTTAATATACAGTTATGCACCACATAATGACACTTCAATGTTGAACCACAAAGATGACTATGGTCCCATATGACTGTAATACTATATTTTTATTGTACCTTTTCCATATTTAGAAATATTTAGATACAGACTATTTATCACTGTGTTACAACTGCCTACAGTATTCAGTACAGCCACATGCTGTAGTCTAGGAGCAATAGGCTATTCCACACAGCCTAGGTGTATAGCAGGCTCTACCATCCAGGGCTGTGTAAGTACACTTAATAATGTTCGGATAATGACAAAATCACCAAATGATGCATTTCTCAGAATGCATCCTCATCCTTAAGAGATAAATAAAAATGTAAATACAAATGTTCGGGCACAAATAATAGACTAAATTAACTTTTTATAAACTTCAAATTATTTATAAACTTTAAATTTTTGCTTACTAAATTTACTGAATGAAAAACTTTCAGCTTAACATGAGGCCTAGCTAAGATTTCCTTTGCAAAAGCTAGTTTCGTATGTGTTTTCCAATACCTATTAGAATAAGGCACATGCAACCCCCCTCAAAATTAATCTGATATAAACATGTTAAAGTATGTTCATTCAGATTGACCTCAGTCCTGCTAGATGCTCCTAACATGGGTGAATCTTAATGCTCTTTCTTAAGGTTTTTTTATTTCTTTTTTTGAGACAGAGCCTTGTTCCATTGCCCAGGCTAAGGTGCAGTGGCATGATCTCAACTCACTGCAACCTCTGCCTCCTAGGTTCAAGTGATTGTCGTGCCTCAGCCACCCAAGTAAGCTGGGATTACAGGCATGCGCCCCCATGCCCAGCTAATTTTTTGTAGTTTTAATAGAGTTGGGGTTTGGACACGTTGACAAGGATGGTCTCAAACTCCTGGCTTCAAGTGATCCACCCAACTCGGCCTCCCAAAGTATTGGGATTATAGGTAGGAGACACTGACTGTGCCTGGCCAAGGTTTTCAATTTCTTACATATAGTAGTGGCTCTGCTCAAGATGAATAAAGATAGATTAAATTCAGCACATCCAAATGGGCCTGATCCCAAGACACTGGGGTGTATAAGGATAAGCACTGGAATCCACAGACCCTGGGATTCAGTTCCCAGTTCTGTCTCTAACTGACTGGGCAACTTGTGGCAATATGCTTAAATTCACTAGTTTTCTTGTAAAAAGAAAATGTTGGATTCCATTTCCTTGAAACTATCTTTAATATTAAAATTTTATAACTCAACACAGTATTTTACTTCACTTTTATAAAAGCTTTCACACATATTATCTCAACCCTGTGAGGTAGATTTCACAATTTCCATGTTAAAGATGAGCCAACTGAGTTTCCGAAGGTAACTGACTTGTCTGCAGCTTTTAAGGGCTGATTTTAGAACTGAAAATTGAGTATTGTGACTCCTTCTACGTCACCAAGACACAATTCAATTCAACTGCAAGACCAGAAAACTGTTAGAGTATTGGTTGCTAGTCATTAAATACAGTACCTATAATCAACTTTCCTAAGTTATTTGTAGGGCTTTAATTCTGCTGAGGGTTGAATGTTTGTGCCCCCTAAAATTTTTATGTTGAAACTTACTTCTCAATGTGATGATATTTGCAGGTGAGGCCTTTGTGGGGCAATTAGGTCATGAGGGTGGAGTAGTCACAAATGGGAGCTATGCTTTTATAAAAGAGACCCCAGAGAATTCTCTTGCCCTTGTTTCTGCCATGTGAAGACACAATGAGCAGAGGTCTGTCTATGAATCAGGAAGCAGTCCCTTGCCAGACACCAAATCTGCTAGTGCCTTCATCTGTGAAAAATAAATCTGTTATTTAAGCCACCCAGTCAATGGTATTTTTGTTATAGCAGCCCAAATGGACTAAGACAAACTCTAAAGGTATGTCTTTCTCATGTCACCTTAAAGATTATAGGAGAGCTTTATTTCCTTGGTGTAAAGATACTCTTAACTTGTGTCTTCCTAATTATCCATGTGCCAGTCATACACTCTTTCCAAGCTTTCAGATGTGGTTCATTTCTCATTTCTCCTCATTATATGCTCCTAGGTGGAACGCCTAGAGGAACATGAGTCCTCATTACCTGGGGCTGACCCACCAGTGAGTGAAAGCAAGGGAAGAGGCTTCTACACTTACCTGTCCCATCATTGTCTCCTTATACTGCTTCTTCTGGGTCACTTTGATTGGAGGCAATTTTGTCACAGCAGACACCAGGAAGTTCATGAGAATGTCCTCACAATTGGCCAATTGGTCCACCATGTTCTTCAGGCTGGCTGGCAGGTAATGGGAGTACAGGTAGTGATAATATCTATAAAAATCAAAGATGGGTTTCATAGGGGGCCATTATCACATGGTGACAAGTGAACTCTGGAGACAGAAAACACATACTCATTCTTTGAATTCCTTAATATGTATGTCATGAATGGTGATGACAATGATGATGGTGATGATTATAATAACTATCACTTCTATGGTACTTGTTATGTACCAGATAGTGTTCTAAAGTGTTTTACAAAAAATGCTTCATCTAGTCTTCATAAGGAACCTACAAGGCAGGTTCTATTATTACTCCCATTTTACAAATGAGGAAACAAGGCATAGAGATATAGATATACAGACACTGCTTGCCCAGTCTAACTCTAATATCAGACTGGTCAGTTAGAATGAAAAAGAAAACCTAATTACTTAGGTGGAAAGAGAAGTTACTTACACATAATCTATATATTACAAAGCTCATTAACAATTTTAATCATTGGCTTAATCAGAACTGTACTCAGTATTATCCCTTGATTCTGAGTCTAGCAACAGACTGTTTTATATTTGTGCACTATAAATCATATATATTTCAATCCTGTTAGAGCAAAATCTGAATTAATGGGGTGGCCAATCATTAATAGAAAACTCACAATTAATTTGAATTATTTCTCATCCTACTATTTTAAAAATGTATTTATATACATATAGCATATATTTCTAGGGAAAATCATTTGAGTGAATCAGATTCTTTGAGTGGTGGTGGCAGGAGCAATAGGAACAAATAACTTTCAAGAAGTGAAATCTTAAGATCAAGAATCAGTCAGCCTAAATGTTTATGCCTTGGGCATTTCCAAGCTATCCCTGAGATAGCAAAGTTCCCTATTCATTATTTAAAAAGGCTAAGGCAAGATTGGTGTGTTTACCTTTACTATGACAGAAAAGCGGGAATTTTGTTACTGGTTGAGTGGGGAATGTTAGTTATCTACACTCACTAGTTTGGGAATCTTACTCCAGTCTCCTGGCTTTAAAGACCAAATCTATGCAAACAACTGCCAAATTTGTATCTCCACCTCTGAGCTTTTTCCATATATCCTTTTGGATGTCTTAACATGTCCAAGACTGAACTCCTATATTTTCCCTGATATTTGTTCCATCTGTAGCTTTCCTCATCTCTGTTGATCAGCATGCTAATCTTGCAGTGCCTTAGGTCAAAAGACCTGGAGTCATCAAACTCTACATCCAGACTGTCCAGGCACTATGTTAAAGCATCTTCAAAATATGTCCACAATCTGATCACTATTTACCACGGTCACCATTCACTTTCTGATCCCAGGGTCCCACCATCTCTTGCCTAGATAATGTCACTCACCTCCTAATAGGGCTTCCTCCTTCAACTCTGGGTCCCTTATAGCCTCTTCTCAACATAACATCCAAAGTGGATGCATAAAAGAAAAGCCAGATTTCTCCCTCCTGTTCCAACCCTGCCCTCCTCCCATGTCTCTTAGAGAAAAAGTCAAGTCCTCGTGATAGACATCAAGGTCCTGCATCCATGCCCCACAACTTTTCTGACTTGCTTTCATTCATTCTACCCAGTCACAGTGGTCTCCTCACTGTTTCCCCAGTATTCTTCCTCAGGGCATTTATTCTAGCTCTTCTCCTGTCAGAACACTCTTGCTGCACTTATCCTCTTAGCTAATTTCCTCTCCAAGTCTCTACTCAAATCTCACCCAATCAATCAGAATCACCCTGGACACCCCCAACCTGCCCCATCTCCACCTTCAGCACTCCTGATCCCTTTTCCTACTTTGAATTTTTGTTATATCACTTATCTCCTTAATAAACCACATAATTATTATGTAGACTGTGTCTTTGTTAGAGTATAAGAACGACATTGGCAAGGAATTTTTTCTGTTTTACTCAATGATGAATCTCAAGCACCTATAACAGTGCCCTTGGGTACTGACTTAGGTATTTACTTTTATTGTTGTTATTCTGCATATTCAGTTACCTAATATGCCCTGAGTATATTTTCACACTTCACAGCAAGTGAAAATGTTACTCTACCATAATTTCTGGAAATGAAATATGCCAAGGGGTTTCATTGGTTTCAAAAACACACATTTGACACATTAGCAAAACTTAAGCAGGGATGCAGACTACTTTTCATTAATGCCCTTAACAAGATTTGGAATAAGTTCCTACTTATGCAGCAACCAACATAAAAGGTTACGTAAAGTCCGTCAGAGAGATGTCCCGATTACTCACTTGTGGTAAATAGCAGCTCCTGTCAACACCATGGAGTAGTCGTTCGTCCACTTTGATGTGTATCCCCACCGCTCTTTAGAGTTATCCCAGAAGTGGCTGCGCGCGGGGTACCCCACAATCCTCTCAGGGAAGCTCTGCCACACCGTGAAGGCAAAATCCACCTGCAGGCAGAACACAAGCCAAACAAGCAATCAACAGCGTTAACAAATGTCAACAAAAACATTACCTTCTCCCTGCTAATTCATAATGCAAAATCTCAAGACTGTGGCGAAACATTAATTCTATGTATTCATCAGCAAATTAAACTGACTGCTTGACATTTTGCCCCATAATTATGCACATTTTAATGTTTTCTGTTAAAGAAACTTCAGATTAGTGTGGAAATGAAAGGAAGAAAAAACATTTGCTGATATGCCCTTTAAAAATTCAGTCTGTTCCAGGTAAGACATAAGTTGAAAAAGCACTTGCTTCTCTTCCCCCCGCAAAGGTGCACGTGACTTGATTTACATAAGACACAAAGATATCTTTTTTACAACTGAGAAATTTCCCATGTTTATCCAAAAAATGAATATATAGCATATATCATATCCAGCATATATCAAAGCCACAATGTCTAAAATAAAAGCACTCACTCAAGAGTAAGAGAAATCACTTTTTAAAAAAACACAAGTTCTAACAGGAATACAGAGCAGATATCATAAAGGAAACGTAATTCAGGCCTCTTAGGTTTGAAGATGCACAGTTTAAGAGAAACTAGAAGAAAGTATCCACAGTGAAATTCACTAAGAATAAGTGGGGACAAGGCCAACTGAAGCCACAGGATTATTTTAAAGGAAATACAGCTAAATGTCTTTCCAGTGCTTATAACAGCCTAAAGCAAGTACTTCTGAACCTGCTATAAACCAGCATTTATAGTTAGCAAATGCTCTGTTTTCAAATGCAAAAATCACTTCTGATTTCTATGATCATTTTGATGGATGGTAAATCAAAATAATAAACAAAAAATACGCCGGGTGAGGTGGCTCATGTCTGTAATCCCAGCACTTTTGGAGGCTGAGGTGGGCAGATCACCTGACATCAGGAGTTCGAGACCAGCCTGACTAACACGGAGAAACCCTGTGTCTATTAAAAATACAAAAAAATTGGCCAGATGTGGTGGCGCATATCTGTAATCCCAGCTACTTGGGAGGCTGAGGCAGGAGAATCGCTTGAACCTGGGAGGCGGAGATTGCGGTGAGCCGAGATCGTGCCTTTGTACTCCAGCCTGGGCAACAAGAGCGAAACTCCATCTCAAAATAAAAAAAATTTAAAAATAAATAAACAGAAAATAGTAACAGCAAACAATCATATAATGCTCATAATTGTGAAATTATGAGCACAATAATTTGTGCAATGGTGCAGTTATAGGTGCTTATGCATTTTAATTCCTTCCATCCTCACAATACCCCGGTGAGGTAGGGGCTTTTACATTCTTCACTTTACAGAAAGGGAAACTAAGATATATTAAAGTTCAAGTAATCTGCTGAGCTAGTAAGTGGCAGAGCCAAGATTCAAACTCTGGCAGTCTGGTTTCAAATGGATTATGTTTGGTATCATAACTTCTCTTTCGGCTCTGTTACTCCAGTGTTAAAAGAAATTTGTCTCTTATACAGGTTATGATTTGCCTTACAATCTTTCCCCTATCTCTTCTTGATAAGCAATACAAATTGGGAATTTCATCAGTTTTGCAAATACTTTGAGTCTTGGCACTGTGATGGTAGCTATGGGACTGAGTGATGCTGCTAAGTCCAAGTCCTGCCCTCTCAGAGATTCAAAAGCAGGACCTGCGATGGTTAATTGTGTCAATGTGACTACACCATGTGGTGCCCAGATTAAAGATGACTTCTGGGTATGTCTGTAAGGGTGTTTCTGGATGAAATTAACATTGGAATCTGTGAGTTCAGAAAAGCAGACTGACCTCACCAATGCAGATGGGCAATATTCAGTCAGCTCAGGGCCTGAATACAAAACAAACATGAAGGAAGGAGGACTTCACCCCCTTTTTCTTTTTGCCTGCTGGCTGAGCTGGGACATCAAACTTCTATTGCCCTTGGACCAGGATTTACACCATTAGCTCTCTGGTTCTCAGGCTGTAGGACTGTCTAGAATTACATCAGTAGCTTTCCTGGGTCTCCAGACTGCAGATGGCAGATCGTGGGATTTCCCAGCCTCCAGAATTGTTTGAGCCAATTCCTCATAATAAATCTATCAGTGTATGTGTGTGTGTATGTATATACATATATATTCAATATATATATATATATATATATATATTCATCCCCTATTGATTGTTTCCCTGAAAAATCCTAATATACTGCCCTCTCTTAAGATAAGGAAGACTTAAAAATATGGCTTGTCCCCCAAACTATAACATCCAGATGGGGCTGGGCACAGTGGCTCACACCTGTAATCCCAGCACTTTGGGAGGCTGAGGGGGGTGGATCACTTGAGGTCAGGAGTTTAAGTCCAGCTTAGCCAACATAGTGAAACCCTGTCTCTACTAAAAGTATATTGGCTGGATGTGGTGTTGCAGGCCTGTAATTCCATCTACTGGGGAGACTGAGGCACAAGAATTGCTTGAACCCAGGAGGTGGAGGTTGCAGTGAGCCAAGATGGTGCCACTGCCCTCTCTCCTGGGCGATAAAGCAAGACTCCATCTCGAAAAAAAAAAAAGAAAAGAAAAAACCCAAAAATCCAGAGTGGGTGGGGGTGGTGTGGAGTGGGGTCAGGGAATTCCAGAGGGGAGAAAAACAACCCAGGGTGGTGGAACTGACATTAAGAAAGCTTGGTAGGGAGCATGTCATCTCAAAGTAAAAAGATAGCAAGGGATGGAGAACATTCACCAGAAAATTGAAATTAGGTTGTGATAACCTACACCTTTTCACTGGCAGTCAATATTAATGGTGCCAAATGATGGGATACCATATTATGCAGCCTATTGTCAAAGAATCAGCCTGGCTGTCAGCACTCTTTGGGGTTTTCCATTATTCTTTGAGAAGGAAATACATGCACTAGCAACTACTACAGAACCCAATGGGTGTTCTCATCACATGAATTTCTTACTATCTTAAAGCTATTTCAAGTCATTTCAAAGGAACTCAAAAGTAAATTCAGAGGAAACTATGTTTCTTGTGATAGCTCTACTTTCATGCAGATTATTAACACATCAAAGAAGGCAAAGGTCAGGTTAAGGCCCTCTCTCTCAAAAATCAACATCTGTTTTCTTTTGAGCAGTGTTTGCAGCAATCCAGATCAATGTAAATAACTATAAACCATCTATAATGCCCTTTATAGGATGCTGTTTAAAAATCTATCCTTAATGCTGCAGGGAGACATTTAAACAATCTAAGATCCTTGGGAAAAAAAGTGAACCAAAATCTATTCACCTAAAAAAAGAGAAAAGAGAAATCCTTGCCCAGGACCATTTTAGGCAACACAACCACTCCACTGATCAGCAGGCAAAAGCAAACCAGACTGCCAGCCTCTTAAATTTACATATCATTTTCAACCCACGTTGACTTCTAATTACTTCACATACAACACATGTTCCTCCCAGCATGCAATGAGTGGTTGGAACTGCTATTCTTTGAAAAGAAATTCACCAGCATGAGGATCCATCATAGCAGTTGCAAGTTATTTCACCATGGGATAGGGAAAAACACAAATTCTAGAGTGAGACTAATTGTCTTGTGCCCAGGGGAAGAGAGAAGATGAATCAATACTGCAGGTCATAGGATGATGATTAAGGTAGCTGCTACAGGTGTCTTGACCATTTGTTGCCCCATGGCAGTGTGATGCTTTGCCTGTGTCTGCCCTCCAAAATCCACTGTCCACTCTTCTTGTCCTGCCCTGTGCCTCGGATGATGGACCCCAATGGGCTGCATCACCTGGTCAGGTTAGGTCAATGGGAGTCACCAGCAGGAAAATCGAGGCAGGACAGAGAGAGGGGTCAGCATATCTCTTCTCTGCTCCCTCTATCCTTTGCCAATAGAGTTCTGGCAGTAGCCAGGTCCTTCCATGATCACAGCACTTATAGAGCAGCCTCTTCTTCCTAGTGCCCTCTCTCAGGGCCTTTGGGAGAAGGAGTTCCTTCTCTCCTTCAGGCCAAGGGGAGGAGCTGCTTTCTGCTATCATTGCTCACCAGGTACTTCATCCTTTCTTATGGGTCTTTTAACCCCATCTGCACCTCCCTAAGTAATCCCAAGTTCCTTCATTTGAATCATCTGATTTAAATTCAGTTTGTTGCCAGGACTCAGATGGATGTAAGCTGGAAATGTGTAACTGAAGTATCTGGCATCGAGACTAGGACAAAGAAATCTCTCAATAAATACTTGATGAATGACTGTGTTCCAGCTTCCCCTGCAGAAAGAGCCAGAAAATATGCAAGCTGGAGTGATCTCTACCCTGTATTCCATAGCTGCCTTTCCCTTTAAATGTTAAACTTATCAATATCCTTTCCTCCTGCCAACCTACATATGTTACAATTGGCAGTGTATCCACCTTTAATCCTCAAAGCCCGCATCCCCCCACCCTGCCCAACCACTCATTCAACAAGTATTTATAGAGCTTCGGCTGCACAGAAAGCATTTTAACAAGGTGAGGCCCAGGACATTTTGTCCTGGGATAGGTTGCCCTGGCATCTAACATCTATGCAACTCCATCTGATGGCAATCAAAAGCAACTGTGGAATTTCAAGAAGGAGACACTGAGTTCACCAGCATAGGTCAACATCCAGTCCTGGCTCTGTGGGCAGCAGGCCATTAGGACCAGACTGGTGTCCAGGAAAGTGCAGGTTAGTAAGTGCCGATGTTGACATTAAAAGAAAAATGACTGCAAACACAAAGGAAAAAAGAAAGGGAGGGGAAAGGCATAAGTACTTGCGTCTCCATGCTTTTTAGTAGTTGCCATTAATAATGTATTTCTCGTATACTCCATTTTTATATAGCTGTCTTTGGTCCCCTGCATGGTTTAAAGGAAGGTTTCTGAGATCAATACTCATTCGAGTTGTAAAAATTGGTTTTCTACCATATCTATCTTTCCTCCTCTCTCTCTCCTCCGCATACATTCTCTGGGCAATCTTATTTTTGGCACAAATACCTGAACATCTGAAATAGGAATCTCCATCACAGCCTTAAAGTGAAACCATTTTCTCTTGTATAGGTGAAAGAAAATGAGCACTTTAAACCAAGATAGAAAAGCTGCCTTTAGAGCCCAAAATAGTGTTCCCTAACTGAGGCTATAGGATATGTGGGGAAGGATGGGATTGTTTCCTCTGGACAGCATGGTGTCAAGATAATGCAGAATAGGCACCCTTCCCCTTCCCCTGCCCCTCAGTTCTGTGCACCTGCCCACAACTGTGCTGTTTAAAAACAAAAAAGGAGGGCAGGCCTAGGAGGAGAGGTGAGGCCCAGTTATGCAAATGAGGAGCCAATTAGCAGAGGCAACGAAGGCGAGATGCCCTCCTCAGAGTGCCAGGTGGCAGCAAGGTGCTAACAGGACTCGGGCTGATTAAAACCAGTGCTGTAGGAAGTTGTGAAAAATGTTCTTGTCTGCTGCCAAGGCATGGCTAAGAGAAGCACTAGCATCGTGCAACTTGGGGCGACTGTCTGAAGAGCCCACCTGCCGCTCCTCAGGCATGGGGTCTTACCTCTGTGGTTGAAAGCACAGTGTCCTCGTCAAGGCTGAGCACAGCGTCTGTGATGATGTTGTCGTAGGGCAGAAAACGGCTGCTCATAACCTGGAAGGAAGTAGGAGGTAGGCAGTGGGGAGGGAAAGAGGTAACTTCAGTCTTGTTTTCAGGACAATTCTCCCATCCTCACCTGCATAAAGAATGTGCCACTGGCCAGGCATAGTAGCTCATGCCTGTAATCTCCGCACTTTGGGAGACCAAGGCAGGCAGATCACAAGGTCAAGAGATTGAGACTATCCTGGCCAACATGGTGAAACCTCGCTCTATTAAAAATACAAAAATTAGCTGGGTGTGGTGGTACACACTTGTAGTCCCAGCTACTTGGGAAGCTGAGGCAAGAGGATCACTTGAACCCGGGAGGCGGAGGTTGCAGTGAGCTGCGATCATGCCACTGCACTCCAGCCTGAGCAACAGAGCAAGACTCTGTCTCAAAAAAAAGGATGTGTTACTGTCATATCATGTCACCCCTCAACATTGAAGAAATGTTATCTCCTATCAATGTAGATTTATTTGTTCAACAATTATTGGGCACCTACTGTGTACCAGGCATCTTGCTGGTCAAAGAGGGTACAAAGATAAATCAGATATATTCCCTGTCTTTGAAGAGTTCATGGTCTGTAGAGGAGACCAAGAAGCAGATGACCAGTCTTTGTTTGAATCAAAAAGTGCCAGGAGACCACAGGATGGAGCAACCAGCTGTCTGGAAGAGCAGATGAAGGCCTTGTAGAAGAAGTGATATTTAAGCAGGACCCTGATGGGCAGAAATCATTCACCAGGTATAGGTAGAAATGAAGCCTTTATGACAGGACTCGGCAGATACAGAGGCAGTGAGGCGAGAATCCACATCCTGACACCCACTCTTCCTGACTGAAAGAGTGAATGGATGGAGCAGTGATTCCAAGTGTGGACGCAAACAATGGGGAAAGCAGATCATTGTAGAAGATGCTGCTTTTACAAATTAAAAACATTTTAAATTATAATATGTATTAGCACAGGTTAGAAAAAAATAAACACATATATTAGCAGCTACAGCAATCAAAGGTAATGTTAAAGTTACAAATAACTTCACTAAAATGAAAAGTATACTAATTTAAAGAAAGATATTAGGCTGGGCATAGTGGCTCATGCCAGTAATCCCAGCACTTTGGGAGGCTGAGGTGGGTGGGTCACTTGAGGCCAGGAGTTCAAGACCAGCCTGGCCAACATGGTGAAACCCTGTCTCTACTAAAAATACAAAAATTAGCTGGGCATGGTGCTCCCTGTGATCCCAGCTACTCAGGAGGCTGAGGCATGAGAATCACTTGAACCCAGAAGGCAGAGGTTGCCGTGAGCTGAGACTGTGCCACTGCACTCCAGCCTGGATGACAGAGCAAGCCTCTGTCTCAAAAAAAAAAAAAAAATATATATATATATATATGTATATATATATAAAATAATAGCACACATGATTGATGGATTTAGAAAAATTGTGAAGGTGGTGTATGCATAAAGTTTAGGCAGTTATAGAATAATGAATGGTGCACTACGTGTGCACACACAGTGGGGTGTGTGTGTGTGTGGTGGGGGCTTTGAAGATTATGGCATCAGCTGGTAAAATTGAGGGTGCAGAGGTTACCCGGTAATAGTCACAACTTAAACCTTTGTGTTAAATGTACCACAGAAGAACTAACCATAAGAATGCTGATACCATAAGAATAACATTTTCTGAACATTTACCATGTGCCATGAAATGTTGCAAGTCCTTCATGTACATCATCTTGTTTCATCTTTATAACAACCTCATTTTACAGGGGAGGAAAAGGAGATACACAGGTTAAGTATCTTGCCCAAGATGGACTCAGAATAGCACCTTGGCCAAATGGAGCACCTGTAGCTAAATGGAAAGGACCTCAAAAGTGAATTCAGGAACACATATGCCAATCACATGCTCACCACCTTCTTCCAGAAGTTACAGTAATAAAGATGACACCCTCTCTGAATTCACATCTGCCATCAACTTTGAAGAGACAAAAGCCAGGGAAAGGAGCAATTTAACACTGGAGACAAAGGGAAAGAGGGAAAGGGAGATACCTAGCTAGCTACCAGAGCTGCAGTCTCCCCAAATCTGAATATCCCCAGAAGCCAGCTCATCCACAGGCCTCGTCTCAAACTCGGCTTATTTGCCCGTGAAGCTACCAGAGCACCTAGGACTTTAACGAATGGACAGTGCCCGCTCCAACTCATCTCTCAGAGCTCAAGGGACATATCTGTAGCATACTTAGCTTCAGGGGTTGCTCCTACACCATGTGTCAACTGGGTCAGGGTTTTTTCTTTTCTTTTACTTTCTCAGGCTTTTGAAATAAAACACAAAGTGATCAGCAACCCCATAGACACAGTACTCAGAATTCTCAGCCTGAAGCAATCTTCCTGATACTGTTTACATGTCCACTAACTAATGCAGAAACCATTAGCTGCCAGCTTAGCACCACCCTGACCTTTCCCTTGTTAAGACTACAGGGGAAAACTGCAAAGACAAGGCCTATAAATTCAAAACAGCCCAAGCAGCAAACACATTAACTTTAAATTCAAGGCTAGAGATGGAGATTTTTAAATGGAGAGTGAGGAAGATGTAGGACTTTTTCCTCCTCATCTGCCCAACCACAGGTCTTAAAGGGATCTGTTTCCTTTTCTTCTGAACCTGTTTCATCAACAGAGGTAAAAAGCCTGTAAGCCGTCTACTTTCAAATTCTCATGCAGAAATGAGAGGCTTTCTTTCAAATATGTTGCCTCCACGACCTTCTTAAATGGATTAGCATGAGAGGAACCAATGTACAATGTACTTACAAAGTCAATCCTAAGTGAACTGGGTTTTCCTTGTTCATTTAAGAAAGATTTAGCTACCATGTGAAAGCCCAACTCCTTTAAAATTAAAAAGCATGCTGGTCGGGCATGGTAGCTCACCCCTGTAAGCTGAGGCAGGTGAATCACCTGAGGTCAGGAGTTCCAGACCACCCTGACCAACATGAAGACACCATGTCTCTACTAAAAATCCAGAATTAGCTGGTGGTGGCACATGCCTATAATCCCAGCTACTCGGGAGGCTGAGGCAGGAGAAACGCCTGAACCCGGGAGGTAGAGGTTGCAGTGAGCCGAGAGATCGTGCCATTGCACTCCAACCTCTGTGACAAGAGCGAAACTCCGTCTCAAAAAAAAAAAAAAAAATTAAACATGCCTAGGAAATGACCAGGATTCAAGAAGTTTACTGTCTTGTGTGGTGTATGTGTGTGTGTGTTGTGGAGGTGGGGAGGAGGGTACATAAGTAAAGTACATAAATAATTATAGAAAACACAATAATAGTTACGATTTATTGAGCATCCATAGTGTGCCCACACTTCTCAGTACATTTATTTATGTAGTCTCATATAATCTGATCTTTTGGCTTCCTTATTAGTTACGTATTATGACTCCATTTATTGAAAAAGGGCATCAAGACACAGAGATTAAGTAACTTGCTTTAAGTCACACAAAAATAAGTTTGACTTTAGAGCCCATAATGCAAATCATAACATTATGATGCCTCCCAAAAGAGTAGCCAACATTGATTGAATCTTTGGTGCATATATAATAGGCACAGGACTAAGCACCTGATATGCAATGATCTCATTTAATCCTCAAAATGAGCCATGTCCTAGCCCAGGTTTCCTGCAATACTGAGCCTGAAGCAAGACTTACGTGCAAATGCTTCACTGTGAAGTGCAATCCCAGGGCACTGAGAGTCAGGGAAAAGACACAGGAAGCACCCAGCCCACTGGATTCAGTGCCCAAGGTGGAGGCAAGGACTGAACAAATGCCAGGAGCCTGAACATAGATGCAGCTCGGAGGATCTGAGGTATCTTGTAAGAGACATCTGATAAAGCCCACGAGAAAGGTACTATTATTATCACTACCATTTGATAAATAAAGAAATGGGGAGTTTCTTTTCACTGAGAATGAAAATATAAAATCAATCAGTGAGTCAGAGCATGAAAATGCTACACTACCTAAAGAAATCAGAATGGCCCCCAGACAGACTAAAGTATGTCTGAATATCCTGACATATCCAAAGAAAGACATTTCCACCAGAAGGAGAGCTGTTCTCCTTGACCCAACATACAAAACAAAGAATTCCAAAGTTGAAAGTTAACTGCCTGTATTGGAGCCTTCTCGTGGCTTCAGGCATTGGAATTGGGACACTGCCATTCCTATGATGGGCTATTTTATGGGGAGGGGGAGGATATAAGGAGTGGCATCAAACCATGCTTATGGTGAGATGGATTTGCGAGGGAGGCCTGTGATTATTCCAATATCCACCTTTTCTCATTAAATGCTTACCAAACAGCTCTCTAATTAACAGGTTGCTTGACTCCAGCCTTATGAGTGCCGTGGCTAAATGTGTCACATTCCCCACTGTGTTCCAAGCATGTTACACAGTACTCAGCACACAGGAGACACTCATAAATGGGAACTGAATAGATAATGCACTGATCATCTTGTCCGTGAGATGGTTACAATTCTCATTGTATTTTATCAAACCATATGAAATTGCCACATTTCGTGAGTCGATGATGATATCAAATGGTTCAGTCTAATAAATTGATTTTGTCATTCTGGCACAAAGGTGTGAGCCACTCTCTTATGACCTGACCCTTTGGGGACTGATGAGGAAAGTCTTTTAGATGACACCGCTTCTCCAATCTCAATTTCACTTAGTAGTGACTGTTTCCTTCACAATGGGTGAGATCTATAAGAAAGCAACAAACAGAAGCTAGAGAAAACAGAGCCGGCTGCTCTTTAGTACAAGAAATTTCAAGGATGAAGTAGCATCAAACGGAAGCTTTGAGAATATGTGGGAATGTTGACAATCAGAGATAGTGAAGTTAAGGAGGGGTGGTCAAGATTTACAAATGGCAAAGTCAAAATCAGAGGGAGGAAGAGACACGGTGCAATTCAGATAATTATAAATGACCAAATTTGGGAGGGGACAGGGTCTGTAAGGGAAAGCAATGAGAGAAAAAATTGGAAGGCTGTCTAGGGCCAGATTATAGACAGCCTCAAATGTCAATTAGAAGCATTAGCAAGTGAAGACCTTAAATGGCCAGGAGATGATCAGAAAGATAGTTCAGCTCTATGCAAAGTGAACTGGAGAACAGAAAAGGAGCCAGCCATACAGCACTTGTGAGAATTTTTACAGGGAGATGGCAAACAAAAGTAAGGTGAAAATGTCCTTTTTAAAATGAATGGGAGAAAGAACCACCATTCTGATTGACATAGCTCATTCAGATTAATCAGCCAAGCAAACCTCATGCATCAGCACCACCATCAGCTTTATCTTCATCCTTGTCATTTAGGAAAAGACAACTATTGCCAGCAGCGGGCTTTATTTAATCCCAATGGCAACCCTGCAAGGTATGTATTATTACTTCTATTTTGTAGATGAGGACACTGAGGCTCATAGAGGTTAAGTATACACACAAGGTCACAGAGCTACAAAAGAGTTGGTAATTAAGACCCAGGTTTCCCTGATTTGAAAGCCTATTGCTGTCAAAGCTAAGAATATTCTGAAAAAAAGTACACTGTTAGAAAAATAATCCAAAAACAGGGAGAAAATATCTAGGGCCAAGTCCTAAAATGTCCCATGGAGAAACAGATTCCATAGTGGCTTCATACATGGGTCCCCTTCGAGTCTTACCTTGCTCTCTCCTTCAATGACGATGACAGGCACAGCAGTGGCAGGCCAGCGGTGTTTGGCTGGTAGAGGCTTGTCACAATTCCATAGAACTATGATCTGAAAAGGATGGGGTTTATTAGATGGCTGGGGTAGGCTGTATTTATGTAGATGTTCAACCGAAAGCCTCTTCTTAGAGACAAAGAGAAAGAGGAGCTAGAGATCTCAGCAAGACAGAAAGGCAGACATCAAAACTGAATTTTAAAGTGAGTCCATTTCCACACAACCTCAGAACCTTAACACCCCAACAACTGGAGAGAGGACAGAAAGGGTAACAAAAAGACAAAACCTGTGCCTGAGGATAGGGGAAAGCTGCAGAAAAAAGAATTTCAGGGTGCCTGGAGCTTAATAAAGTAGTTTCCTGAATTCTGGTATCTTATGATGGCGTGTGAGATAACAACTCTGATCAAATTAAATAAAAATGTACACTGAGCATCTGAACATCTGCTGTGAACTTGCACTACACCAGGCAATGTGGGAGAAATAAAAGAATTCAAGCTAGAACTAGGATGAGCTCATGTTTTACATTCTCTAGAATGGTTGCTGATTTTATAGACTTTATAATTTCCAATAAAGGCATTTAGTTCAAAAATGCATACTTCCTTATTGAATTCTTTCCTCATTTGTAAACCTTCTTGTATAAACTAATTCGCAAATCAGAAAAACCACTGTTCAAGTATGGGAGCAACACTGATTTGGAAAATATTGTTACCACAGACATAATCGTCTGCTCCCAATTTTATAATTAGTCATGGTTGCTATGAAAAGAAAAGTTGACGCTCCATGACACCACCAAGTCTGCTTCTTCATTGAAGCTTAGTTGTCTGGGTCCTCCAGAGGCTTCTGGGATGTTACTTTATTATTTTGACATTTAAAAACAAAATCATATGCTTATATCTTCTTTACAGAATGTGTTGCTGTGTGTGTATATATATTTTTAACCCTACACCAGTGCTAAGGTCTTTCTGTAACCTACCCCTCCCTGAGCCAGATTTCACTTCAAAGAATTTCTAAGTAGATGAAAAGGCTGTAAGGAGTCGGGAAGAATGAAAGGGAGCAGCAGGGTGATGTTAGAGTCCCGGGGAGTCTGGGGCATTACAGGTAAGGAGGGGTCTCTGGTCTGGAGCTGGAGCAGGCAGGGGCTACTCTGTCAACTTCCCACTCACCTGGGCACAGTACTGGGACTTGGCTGCAGCCACAAGAAGCTTCAACACTGGCTGGGACTGAGAGACCAGGGGGGTCACCGCATGGATGACTGCAGTGAATTTGGAGGGGGGCTTTAAACCTGAAATAGAAAGCAGAGCAGAGCCTAATGAAGCGCTGGAAAACAAGACTTAGAAAATTACTCCGCCTTGCTCCGCTGCCTCACGCTGGAGCAAATGTTCCCTCCTGGATGATTTCTCCTTTGCTTCTTATGTCCTGACAGGACAAAAACAAGATGAAAGCTGCTGGCTAGCTACTGCCTGAGTCTAGAGACCTCAAAAATTCAAGATCAATGTCCACCTCTGGGTTCTTGCTTTGACGTCCTTTGCCCCTCTTGGTGATGTTTCTGTGATGTTCTTTTGGCTTTTTAGGTACCCAGTGTCTAAATACACACACCACTCACCACCCTTCAGAGTGGTACTACTTCTGGTCACTTGCATCTTCTTATGTATTTAATTAAATGTGCTAGCTCTCCCATGGTATATGCATGTGTCTAATTTTTAATTATGTAATAAAAGGGTTCTGCCTAATAGCATTTCAAGTAACTAGCTAGTAGGAAAAAAGGGGAAAGGAGTAACATCCGGGGTCTGATTGTCGAGGTCTGAATCCCAGATCAGCCACTTAGTCATAGTAGGACCTTGGAAAGATTACTTAACCCTCTGTTTCCACAGTTGGGAAACCAACCTGACAGTAACAGTGCCAAACTTAAGAGATTGCAAAAATTCAGTAAATTTGGATGGGTGCCGTGGCTCACGCCTGTGATCCCAGAACTTTGGGAGGCCGAAGTGGAAGGATCACTTGAGGCCAAGCAGTTTGAGACCGGCCTGGCCAACCTGGTGAAATCCCATCTCTACTAAAATGCAAAAATTAGCTGGGCATGGAGCTGTGTGCCTATAATCCCAGTTACTCGGGAGGCTGAGGCTGGAGAACTGCTTGAACTTGGGCCAAGATGGCACCACTGCACTCCAGCCTGGGCAACATAGCAAGACTCTTTGTCTTAGGGAAAAAAAAAGTTAATGCATACAAAGCACTTAGAACAGGCCTTAGGAAATAACAGTTACTCAGTATATGTCAGCTATCATTATCATCAGCCTTACCATCATCATCATTATTTTGGAGAAGCCTCCATACTCCCAGAATCTCCTCTTTGTATAGCAGTGACATAGCTAAGAAAAAAAGTATGTGATGCAGACTTTTGCCAATTCCGAGCTCTGAAGCACTGAATTAAAAAGGATCATAACTATGCAAAACAACCACTGTCACCAAAGAGAAGTGACATGGCTTCCCCCCAAGGAGTTTTCCCATAAGAACTCACTAAGAAATTAGAGACAGGTTAAGAGCTTTTTAAAACTTCATGGGTTTAGACCCACTAATTTGGCACGTTAGTGGCTTAATTGTGAACAACACAGCACAAGGGCATTCAAGTTAAGCTTTGATACAGATGGGATAAAGGTTAGAATCAAACTATATGTGTATTATAGGATTAAACAAAGGTTTTGTAGAGAAAATTATAACATCCAGCAGTAGCACTTTAATTGTATGTAAGAAGCAAGTTAATCTTCCCAATATCTAGATACACATTCAAAGTTTTGCCAAGTAAGAATAAACGTGTCTGAGGGATTGCTTTTTTAACAGGAATGACAAGTCATTGCTTTTAGATTTTCCTGCTTTTAGATTTTAGATGGAGTTAGTTAGCTCTCCTAACTCCATCTTACATATGATGAGGCTTAAGAAGCATCATTTATATACCTCTAACGTGCTAATTCCAAATGAAGATCTAAATATTGTACAAGAAATATACAGAAATTCTTGTCAACCACTGCCTCAATCTGACAATTTCTAAATTCTAAATAATATGTTACTCAAATATCGACTATTCACTGAATTAGAGATGGTTCCTGGAACGGGTTGGGTTTGGATTAAAAGGTTCTTTGTCAATGGTTGATGCTCCAGGCCACGAATTTCTTTAGGTTTCATCTCCTCAGTTTCAAGCTAAATGTGTACAACTTAAAAGGATGAGGGTGTTAAGGAGAGCAACAGCACTGAGTGGAAAATCTTGTCCTTTTGCTGTATCAACTTGGAAGATGCTTTACTGTCTTAGGGTTTCTCAAGTATAGAATTACAAATGAGGGGAAATGTTCATGATGTTCATAACATGAGAGGGACTGCGGCTCCAAACACGTGAATGTCTAAGGCAATAACAGTAGCCAGTGTAGAGATTCATCCCTCTGCCACTCCCTTTTCCCTGTTGTGTTTAGACTAAAAACTGCTTTAAAGCAGAGATTGTATCTTATTTGACTTTTTCTTTCTAGTACCCAGCAGTACGTTAGCATAGCACATAAGAGGAGCATAACAAACTTTGGAAAAGTGAATACATTTGTGCTTGTCATACATTCTTAGTTATTTCTCCTTTTTTCTTATTCAGTTTTTCTTTGGTATGGAATAGAGATGTTGGGATTGTGTAAGAAAAATTGGGGAGAGCTCTCCTAACTCCATCTTATATCTGATGAGGCTTAACATTATAGCTAACCCATTGCCATGTTCAAAATGATCCATAATTTGGGGAGGCTATTTTTCAAAAAGAAACAACTCTACTAAATATGAAGAATAGCTGCACAGATAAAAGTTTTTCTTTTTCTTTTTTTCATCTTGCAATGCTCTGCTCTGTTTTTGAACTTGTTATGTCACTTATAACAAGTCTTTAGAAAAAGCAATCTTCAATGCAGGGTGTTAGATGGGTCCCATTAGAATAGAAGAATAAAGGCCCTTAGTTCTGTATGACATCTTGTGGGTAAACAAGGGCAACTCCCTGGAGGAATCTCACTTACCTAAATTAGCATAGTAGTAAGGAAAATCTCCCAGGTAAGATGAATACTGTGGTAGTACGAACAATCCTCCCGGATGTTTGTTCCATATTAAACTGTTACGTGATATGTGCTTGAATATTCTGTCCTGAATAATCTAGAAAACAAAAGCGTAGCACACAGTGAGGATGAGATCCTGATGATATTTGGAAAGGATAATGTTCAATCCAAATTTGAAAGATGGTGGCACTCAGAGTCGTGACTCTACCCTTCCTCCCACTCTCATTCTCCAGATAAAAATGTCTTCGAGACAGAGAGAATAATGGAGCAATGAAAAAGAGTAAGAGAAAGATATGAATTATAGCCAATCAAATTTCCTAATTAAACTTCAGTTAAACCATAAATTCTATCTTGTCTTTGTATAATAATGAGTCCATGCTCATTCCAACATAGACTGTGTGCAACAGTTAGTCTTTCCCTGATGGTTAAACATCTAAGAACTGGTCCCAGACTCCCATCAAGAAGATCTGTCCTCAGGGGACAGAGAGGTCAACGTAGACCATGTAGACACTGAACAGAAAGCATATTGAAGACATGACGTATTCTAGAAGCGATTGAGGTTTTGAGCTGTTCCTTTAATTCAAGAGTTAGACGTGTTTGCTTGTCATATTTTATTTTCCTTTCAAAGTCAACTGGAGGACTCTGGGTGCTGGTTACTGAAGTTTTCTATATTTCATCTTGTAGTGAGTAACAATTGCTTAAAACATCCTACATAATAGGACAAGAACCATAGCATATGAAGACTAATAATAGCCAAGCTAGTTCATTAGTTTCTTTGGACCTTGGGACCTTGCAGATCATTAAATTCTACATTTAGAGTCAAACATTCTCCCATCCCAAATCATTTGTTAGTTGAATGTGATTAGTCTACTTTATAGCTTTCTCTCTGTGACTTTCAAACTCTTATAATTATACCATCCACTCATTAGAATATGATTTGGCAAATAATTAACTTGGTACGGAATTTTATGTTTTCAGCAAATTTTTTTTTTACATTAAAAAAAAAAAAATCCTGCCATAAGTCTTAAGAGATTTAAGACCCGAATCACCACTTTCCAGGTCTCCATTTAATACAATGTGATTTTAAGTACAGACTATTTTAAATGGAGTTTTATTATTTGCTAAGGTTATTAACAAGCACATCTCATTCCACATGGTGACTAGATAAGTAATAAAGTGGGCTACATTTATCTTTGTAAATCTTATGTTTATTTTCCTAATGACAGAGAAGGAAGGGTGCAAAGAGAAAATTCAGAAGAACTCAAATATCTTAGTTCAATGATGTCTGCATTTTATCTTTCACCCAGATCAAAACTGCTAATTTTATATGGCTAGATAGAGGTTTCTAATTTGGCGAAGATTTTAGGGACCTAGTGAAAATATTTATTTTTCCTTTTTGTGGTACAAGAGGGATGTGTTAAAATGCTGTTGTCTTGGCATTAATTATGAGAAAATTGTCATGGTTGTGAAGGATTTTTTTAACATGGTTAGCAATTTCACTTTGTACAACATTTATTCTTGATTTTTATTATTTGTACTTTCTAAAGGTGCTGTCTATTTATTTCCCCATTATAGTTTCTTTTTAGAGCCTTTTTATTTATTTTTTTTTCTTTTCAAATTTATGTACCTTTTAGCATGTGGTCACTTAAATACGTTTGGATATCAAGACTGAAAATAAATTGACAATAGACAGCATTATAAATTGAACCTACAGACAAATGGCATGGAACTCAGAGCTGTCACAAAATGGGTCATCATTCACATCAGGTCTTTGGGTGGTATTCTTGTCACTGTCATAGACTCTCTTTTTGGTTCTGTATCACCAAGGTTATGATAATAAGATATAGCACTCTTCTGAAATAACAACAAGCATTTTATACTGTCTTCCAATGGATCTTGACAGAAAGATACAGGACAGGTCAGAAAGCAACAGCAAATGTGGAATTTAACCTGGGCCAAGCAATTTGCCACCATTGTGTATTATTTTCCTCATTTGTAACAAAAACAATAAAATACCATATTAATTACAATAGCCCCTCAGAATTTAAGAATAGCTGCCTAAATTGTTATACTTAGGTCTTGATATTTGCCTTTAAAAAGAAGCTCATTCCTGTGTTCATTTTCTAGGCACTGGTTTTTCCATTTACTACATAGTTGTAATGGTACAGACATTATATATTACAGATATTTTTCCATTTAATAGTATTCATGATTTACTTATTCTTAATGACCAGTTTAGCAATTTTTCCATGCAAAGCAATGAATATTTTTATGAATAAAATTTTTCACATTTAGGATTTTTTTTTTAAACAGGGTCTCAATCAGTCACCTAGGGTGGAGTGCAGTGGTGCGATAATAGATCCCTGCAGCCTCAAACTCCTGGACTCAAAAGGATACTCCTGCCTCAGCCTTCTGAGTAGCTAGAACCACAGAAGATGGTCACCAAATCCAGCTAATTGTTATTTTTATTTTTTGTAGAGATGAGGTCTCACTACGTTGCCCAGGCTGGTCTCGAACTCTTGAGCTCAAGCAATCCTTTCTCCTCGGCATCCCAAAATGTTGGGACTATAGGTGTGAGCCACTGTGCCAGACCAGAATTGATTCTGTAGGACTTTGTTAAAGGGTAAAAATACTTTTAAGGTCATTCATAAGTATTGCCAAGTGTCTTTCTAAAAGGTATATATCAACTTGCCTTCTCGAAAGCATGAAGGAATATGGATTTCATTTCACCATATAGAAAGATCATTTTTTCCCCCCTCTCCAATTCATCCTATCACTATATTGGACAGCTCCAGAATCTTTTCATGACAGTTAGTGCTTACTCTTTATTGTTGTGGAAGAATACATCAGATTTAGAGGTTGGATGCTTCTTTGGCTATAAAGAAAATCAATAAACACACACATACAGAAACACATAATACATGACTTTTTTTGTTATGGTCCCAGATGGCACTCTCGATAAGGATGATATTACTAATTGATGTGAATTCATAGGGAAGAATGACAGGCTCCTTATTTTTCTTTGTATGTATCCTCTGTTTTTCAAATAATGGACTACTGGTTACAGGTTACAGTCATTCTGTGTAGCCCTTCATCTTTTAACCAAAGCACTGTAGCCTAAGACACACAATGCCACCATATGCCACCTCAACTGAAGCCAAATCAATCTTCTATTTCCATTATCCCATCGATTTTACAGTATCATTGTATGATAACATCAGCAATGCCATGGTTTGGATGTGCATGGTTAGATAACTGAGGAGGAAAATGGAGCATACTTCATAAAACTCCACTAACTATTTACCTTCCTAGCTACCACTGGCTCTTTCCATATATTATTATAATCTCAAGCACTTTCTTTCGCTTGTCTTGATTATGACTAAGCTCCAGTGATTCAATCCCTAGTGCCAGGTTATTGTGCAATATTCTGACAAATAACGGAATCCATGAAGGAGCACTGTTTGTTTTCAGTGTCTTATCATTGTCCCCATTGTTACTTGTCAATTTGCACACATACAAAAAAACCCACTGAGCTCTACAGAGTCTAGCTTGATTAAATAGTTCCTTATTACCAAGATGCAGCATTACAAAATTTCAATCAAACTGGAAAACCTAACAGAATCCTAGACGGAGTTCTGTACAATGAAATGTACTAACAACTTGACCCTGGCATTGAAGAGAAAATGAGATGTCCTGTTTTCCATTGAGTCTAAGCACTCTACTTACAACTCTAGGGTTCATAACATCTGAAGACCCCATAATCCCATTCTCACGGCCTAGAATATAGCAAGCAAGAAGGACCTAAAGTTCTAGGGTCTGAGTACATAACATCCTGAGCCCAGGATCTTCAAATCTATGCTGCCTAAGGGTAACTGTGAATTATTCTCATGCCTTAGTAGCTCCAGCAATGACTAAATGAAGTATATTATCTAAGTTCTAAGCCAAGTTCACATTTTTGATATGTGATACTTATTGTTCTTATAAACACATTCACTGTGTTTATTTGTGTCTGTGGATGGCATTTTCTTCTATTGCCCCTGATTTTCTGATTATGTTGAATTCTGAGGTAATCTGAGTTATGAAGTATTTTGGAAAACTGGGTAGTACCTGTCATGCAATTTGGTTGAGAGGTCAAACTGTTACAATCCAATCTTGGAACTGTATAAAGAGATTTGACAGTTGCTATAAATTTGAATGAAGTATATGGTTTTTAGTGTTTAAAAATAAAATTGTGTTGCTAAAAAAAATCGCATGGTTTAAATACAAGGGGGAAAAGGCCTTTTTAGGTTCAGAGATGAAACAGCTTGATCTTACTTGGATCCTGTTCTGATGAATGTAAGACATCCAACTGTTACAATAGAAAAACTGAGCACTGCTAACTTAATAGGTGGGAGACAAGATCCATGCAACACACCATATGCAAAAGACATGTAATTAATGAGATATTATCTTTCATCTGGCAAATCAGCAAAGTGGTAGATGTGTATGTTTTAATTATGGATCTGTAAAGCTGACAAGAGCATAGCAAAAGAGAGTCATGCCCAGACAGCTTGTGAGACTCTAGGGGAATATAATTTTTTTGGATAATATTTTGGCAAAATAGAGTATAAGCTCTAGAAATGCCTAGAATCTTTGGTTCATTAAGGTCACTTCGGGGACTACATCCTAAAGAAATAGACAGAGATGTAGTTAAAGATACATGTAAAAAGTCATTGATTGGGTAAAGATACAGTTATCTATAAAAAATAAATAAAAATAATATTAATAGTAAATAATAGCGTATTGGTTTAAGTAAACAGAAGTTCACAAAAGGAATGCATATTAGGGTGAAAAAAATTAAAACACTGAAACATGGTCTGGACATATTAGAGGTAAACAACAATAGGACAGAATTAAAAGGCCAGAAACACCCCAAAAATACGTAAAAGTGGCATGAGAAAACACTGAAGAAAGAAACGTATTGGGGCTGGGCACGTTGGCTTATGCCTGTAATCCCAGCACTTTGGGAGGCTGAGGTGGGTGGATCACTTGAGGTCAGGAGTTTGAGAGCAGCTTGGCTAACACGGTGAAACCCCATCTCTGTGGCACACTCTTGTAATCCATAACTACTTGGGAGGCTGAGGCATAAGAAATGCTTGAACCCGGGAAGTGGAGGTTGCAGTGAGCTGAGATAATGCCACTGTACTCCAGCCTGGGGACAGAGTGAGACTCTGTCTCAAAAACAAAACAAAACAATCAGCATTTGGCATATTATTTGAGCCAGGACTTCAAATTCAAGGAATTTATCCTAAGGAAGTAATATTAAATCTGTACAATAATTTGATGACCTTGAGATGATTTACTGTAATGATGTACATAAAGATAAAAAGCCAGAAACAACCAGAATCTACCCAATCAGGTGATAACATAAATAGAATATTTTATAGTCATTAATTGTAGAAAAAAATCTAATAACATGAGAAAATATAAACATTGTTAAGCAGAAAAACAGGTTATAATAAAAGTATACAAAGACTCCTTTTTAAAACTAAAACTACAATAAATTTTGAATTTATATATAAAAATGAATATATATGTTTGTGTGGATATATATATCAACACTGGTTTTATATGAATGAATGATTTTGTATTTTACGCTGTTTTGTATAGTTTCTAAAATGAATGTATACTTCCTTAATAATCACTCCTGTAATCCCACCACTTTGGGTATTCAAAACCAGTCTGGGCAACATAATGAGACTTCGACTCCACAAAAAATTAAAAATTAGTCAGGCATAGTAGCTCATACCCATGGTCTCAGCTACTCAGAAGGCTGAGGTGGGAGGATTGCTTGATGTCATTCCAGCCTGGTGACGGAGTGAGACCCTGTCTCAAAAAAAAAAAAAAAAAAAAAAGGCCAGGCATGGTAGCTCATGCTTGTAATCCCAGCATTTTGGGAGGCCTAGGCAGGTGGATTGCCTGAGGTCAGGAGTTCGAGATTAGCCTGGCCAACATAGTGAAACCCTGTCTCTACTAAAAATAATTAGCTGGGTGTGGTGGTGGGTGCCTGTAATCCCAGCTACTTGGGAGGCTGAGGCAGGAGAATTGCTTGAACCTGGGAGGCGGAGTTTGCACTGAGCTGAGATGGTGCCATTGTATTCAAGCCCAGGGAACAAGAGCAAATTCCATCTCAAAAAAAAAAAAAAAAAAAAAAGACACTCTGTACTCCAAAAAGGGAGAAAAAATAACATTCAACATTCTTTAAGAAGGGCCTATGAAGGATCTTAGATGGAGGTCAGGATTAAAAAAGCAAAGGATCACTCTTAAATATTCAAATCTGCTACAGTGTACAGAGGTGATGATGCTTGCAGGAAGGAAGCCCTTGGAAGTCATTATAATCCTGACCCCTCCATGGGGATGGGCCTGGGTCTAAACACCCTTTTCATCCAGTTCCTGAATGAAAAAATACATACACTGTACTTAAGAGGACACTGACCAGAGCTTTCCCTAAGGCGGGAGCAGGAGCCCAAGCTCAACGTGGGATGCATACATGCCCCAGTGTGCCTGGAGCATGAACAGCACTGGCTCTGATACTCAGAATGGCAAGAAAGCAGCCATGTGGACCAAGCAGGGCAACTTCAGTTTCTTGGTATTACTCAGACTTCTCAGTGTAGGTTCCACATTATATTAGCTTTCAGAGCACTCATCACTTTTCTAGAGTGAATTCTGCAAAGGGGAGGCCACAAATGCCCCCACGTCATTTTGGGAACACCTCAGATTCACCTCACCAAAGATCTCCGCTCTCCTTCCTGCAAACCTGTAATGCCTGAGTGTGCAGTTTCCTGAATCTTTTCCCAGCTCTTTATGCTTCTCTGGCATAGCCTCAGGCCAATGCTACCTGCTCTATTTCCAAAGGTTTTAATCCTCTCCATGCTTCCTTTTCCTTTTTCCATCCTGCCTTAATAAAAGCATCCTGAAGATGGACATCCATCTGCCTAAAATATTTTCTGCTTTCACAAATTTAACACCTTCTGTGCCACATGAGTACAATTCTCTCCTTAACACAACTTTGCCACAGTGATGCTGGTTGGCTGGCTTGCATAAGTCTTAAGAATTAATTTTGCTGTCCCCCAATGCCGTCAAACTGTAGTACCCAGAAAGCTACTTATGTTTTTAGAAGGGTAGAGGATTTGCCCTTACTTGGCCATTATATATTTTTATCTTTTTTTTGAGACAAAGTTTTGCTCTTGTTGCCCTGGCTGGAGTACAATGGCACAATCTCAGCTCACTACAACTTGCACCTCCCGGGTTCAAGCTATTCTCCTGCCTCAATCTCCCAAGTAGCTGGGATTATAAGCATGTGCCACTACGCCTGGCTAATTTTTTGTATTTTTAGTAGAGATGGGGTTTCACCATGTTGGCCAGGCTGGTCTCAAACTCCTGATCTCAGGTGATCCAACCTGCCTTGGCCTCCCAAAGTGCTGGGATTACAGGTGTGAGCCACTGTGTCCAGCCATTATATATTTTTTTCTAAATGAACTCCAGAAATATGTCTGCAAAGGATGCCATTGAATGTAAATGACAAGAAGACAGTCATGACCCACGTATCCCTGAAATGATGTAAGACAGAGTCAATCTCTGTGTGAACAAGTATAATTTCTCTCCACGTAGGTTTTCCTCTGCGGAGTTTGCCAGGGATGAGAGTATTTTCCTGGGCAAAGCAGGTGAAAGAGGTTAACCAATATGTTGTCCAAGTTAAGGAATCTGTTTTTGCCCCATTGGACAAATCACACATCCCAAATAGCAAAACAGAAGGCTCAGAGAAGTGTATAAAGGACTATTATTCAAGCCCAAGAGCCAAGCGGTCTCACTTACCTCTAGTGTAGTTAATACAATCTTCTCAACTGAAGAAAAATAAGCCTCCCACAAGAATTGTGTCTGCTGTCTAAGTGCTAGGATTTTATCCTGATGAATAGACCTGATTGTAGAAGGAATCTGTAACACAAAGTGAACACATAGGAATTATAACTGTAAAACAAAGGATGCACTTGATCAAAATAACTCAACTGGCTTAGGCTTTTATTCTTTATAGCATTTGGCTTCTAGCATGTAGATCTACTAAACATCAACTCCTAAGTTGAAATGACCCTAAGAACTGTGAGCTACAGACAGCACTTACTGGGAACTGCCCCATTGGCCTCTGATGTATGAAAGTTACAGCTGACCTCTAAGATTCAGTAGCAGCTTATCAGTTGCTTAGGGTATTCTATAGTCACAATGGCTGTTTCCAGAAATCTCGACCTTGCACAGGAACAACCAAATTTTACAGAGGAGTAACAATAGGTCTTGGGAAAGGCCAGAAGACTTTATCCCCCAAGCACTTCTATGATTTTTTTTTAACCCCAGAAAGCATAAAATATCTATAAAAATATCTTTTCAGAGAATGTCTATGAGCCTTCCCATCCAACCTGAAGCTAGGGTCCATCACTTTTATGTGCACGTACCTTCTACCTCACCTTTGAGCCTTTCTGCTCCCTATATCACTCTCTGCCTTCAGCCCTTACCCAAGTCTAACTGGATCTCTTAAATATTCATATATATTTAGCCATCACTGCTCTCTTCTAGGGTATACAATTTTAAAGAAAGGACCTGTATCTTGTTATCTTGCTACCCATTTTCAGGTTAGCAGAGTGGCTTTTACATAGTGGTTATTAAGATATAGGAGGTGAATATAACCATCTGAAGCCACCACAGGAATATTATTTTTTTAATGGTAGTACAGCTTAACGGTTAAGCATAGGCACATGGGAGTCAGAAAGATCAAGGTAGGATTCTTGTCTCTACCATTTACTAGCAGTGCTTTCTTGAAGGAGTTAGCTGATTTCTCAGACTCCACTTCCTTACTTATAAAGTGGGGATCAAGTACTCAGGTTTTAATGATTATATACGTGCTTAGCACAGTGCCTAAAACATAGAAAACTTAATTCATATAGCTTATTATCACTACTGCTATCACTATTGATATCAGAGTGATAGTATTAAAAGTTGGACCCCTTGTTTGATGTCTGCAAGGGAATCTGCTTGGGTCTGGAGCTCTGAAATGTACTTCCTGAGTCTGCTAAGTTTTCTGGGCTTGTTCCCTGTTTTCACCTACAGTTCAAGGTCTATTTCATTTACAGAGTCTATACTCCTAAGGAGAGATTCCTTGTGATTAGCAATTGCCCTTTTGTGCTCACCTCTTTCTGCATGCTTGCCTCCATAACGTATGACTAATCTGACAGATATGGGAGTCTCGGCTAAGAGGAGCAATGCTCCGTTAGCTGCTTTAATAAGAAAGTTACCCATGGCATTTGACTAAGACTATAACAGAGTTTCCATTGGAGGAGAAGGAAGTGGTAGCACATTTTTTCAATTCAACACTCCCCTTTGGAGGAGCCATAACACAGCTTCACAGTAAGAACAGAAGGAAAAGCTCACTTGGTTTGGCAATGTCCAAAACTAGATACTAAATCTGTGTCTCGAAGTGCATGCCTGGATTTGCAACATGGGATTGCAACAGAGGCAACAGTAAAGGAGAAACGCTGGCAGACAAACATTAGCCTGTAATCGGAGCTCAAGGTCAAATGGAAATAAAACATTATTTGAGAAGGTAGAGAAATTATTCATATCACAGAACCTTTGTAAGTCCAAGGAAACTTATTTTTATTTACTCACTGAGCAAGTTACCTAGATTACCAAAGAAAGATTAGAAAAAAATTATCCTGTTCAATATCCACAACCATACCCTCTTCTAAATGTCAATGATAATTGCTAAGAGTTATATAGGTTGGCATCATTGTTTTATCATGGCCACGAGGAAACGGTCTATTAGAAAAATGCATAAGGCTGGGCGCTGTGGCTCATGCCTGTAATCCTAGCACTTTGGGAGGGCGAGGCGGGCAGATCATGAGGTCAGGAGTTCAAGACCAGCCTAGCCAATATGGTGAAACCCCATCTCTACTAAAAATACAAAAATTAGCCAGGCGTGGTGGCACATGCCTGTAGTCTCAGCTACTTGGGAGGCTGAGGCAGAAGAATCGCTTGAACCCGGGATGTGGAGGTTTCAGTGAGCCATGTCATGCCACTAAACTCCAGCCTGGGTGACAGAGCAAGACTCTGTCTCAAAAAAAGAAAAATGCCTAAAGCTATCATCATTGCTATGTAGTCTCCAGAAAACTGAGTCTGCTGTGGTTATGAAAGGAGAAAAGGAGTATCACAGACTCACCTACCAATACGGTTCCCCTCTCTTAAATAAGATGCACCTTCATCTTACTACATCAAGCGCAGTGGATTCTATGGGTTTGTGATAGGATTTAAGTGTCTGACAGCACTCTGCAAAGTGCTCCGGAAGACAACGCCAATTGATTGAAAAGACAGAGTTCCAAGTTTTAATGGCATTTGGCTATTGGTTATTAATCTGCTTGTCCTGAGAGACAGGTATGGGAAAGTGATAAATTAATTCCAATTTGGCTGGATTGTTTTGGAAGTTGCAGAGCTCAATGAAGTCTTAATGAAAGGTCGTGTACGGTACCCAAACAAATGGAATGCACCAGAATAGATACAAGAATGCCACATTAAGCTCTCTTGGTGACATGATGACAAGAATATATGCAAATAAAAACATCCGAGCTGTTCTAAAACAGGAAATGAAAAATTGTAACATAACAAAAAAACATTTCCCAAAGCAGACATTTGGGCTGGATGCCAACTCTTTAAAACTATTGTTAATGATAGTACACAGTTGCTGCTCAATATGGAGGCAGCTGTGCAAAGACAGACTGAATATGAGAGGGGAAAACCCCAGTAAGTCTGGGTGGGGGAGGGTGACAAAATCAAATCTTCAGAGTCAACCCAAAAAGTGGCTTCAGAAAGTGAAATGCCCATCAACATTGGTGAAATGGTATAAAATGGACAATCGGCCAGGTGCAGTGGCTCACACCTGTAATCCTAGCAATCCTAGCACTTTGGGAAGTCAAGTCCGGTGGATCACGAGGTCAGGAGTTCAAAACCAGCCTGACCACCATGGTGAAACCCCCATCTCTACCAAAAATTAGCTGGGTGTGGTAGAGGGCACCCGTAATCCCAGCTACTCAGGATGCTGATGCAGAAGAATTGCTTAAACCCGGGAGGCGGAGGTTGCAGTGAGCTGAGATCGCACCATTATACTCCAGCCTTGGTTACAGAGTGAGACTCCGTCTCAAAAAAAAAAAGAAGAAACTCGACAACCACAATTAAGTTTCCTAACATGTGCTCCTTTCTAAAGACAAACTCCCAACATGTTCACATCAAACTCATGGGATATAAAAGGAGAAATTATAGATGGCGTTTTTTAAAAATTCCATTTATTTCCAAAATTTCTTTTAATAATTATGCATTACTTTTAAAATAACTTTATTAAAATTACTTCCATTTTAATAAAGGAAGAAAAAGGCAACATGGACAAGCATGACATGCATCACTTTTGTTTGGCTTTTCATGAAAAAATGATTTTGGCATCCACTGTCTCTCTATGGGGAAAACTTTCTCGGTGTTTCTACAAGGACTTCCTTTCCTTAAGGAATCATAATGGGAAATCATTGGCATAAAGGTGGCCCTTTCACAAAAACTCCAGACTGCTTTCTCAATGAACACCTAAGAAATTAAGTTGTATTCAGGGCAGAATAACTTATTCTCCCAAAAAATGGATTCTGCCATATTCCTTTTTTGTTTCTGAGGCCCTAGGAACCATGGAGATCACAAACTGAGTACCAGACAGAAGTAATGTTTCAGGAGCTGTGGTCAGTTTAGTTTGCTGAACCCATAGGTCTCTCAGGTACAGTTAGTTCATCTGTCATTTTAGGGAAAGTGCTGCATTACTTCAATGTCAACTAGCAGACTGGCCAGCAGCACAGAAGTAGAATCAACAACAGACTTAGAGGCTGGGTGTGGTGGCTCATGCCTGTAATCCCCGCACTTTGGAAGTTCAAGGCGGGTAAATCCACCTGAGGTCAGGAGTCCAAGACCAGCCTGGCCAACACGGTGAAACCCCATCTCTACTAAAAACACAAAAATTAGCCAGGCATGGTGGTGGGCGCCTGTAATCCCAGATACTCGGGAGGCTGAGACAGGAGAATTGCTTGAACCTGGGAGGAGGAGGTTGCAGTGAGTTGAGATCACGCTACTGCACTCCACCCTGGGTGACAGAAAAAAACTCTGTCTCAAAAAAAAAAAAATAAAATAAAGACTTAGAAACTCAATTTAATGGATACCCAAAAAATAAAAAGGCAAAAACATTTTTTTAAAAATCTGCAAATATTTGTGGTAATTCAAAGATAAAATATATGGTTCAATGAAAGAAAAACACTAACATGTTCTATAATTTAGGAGAAAAGAACATGGCAACTTGTATTGATCCTAAAACAGAAATACACAAAGGGCTTTAGAAATCCTTAGTTAAAAAAAAAAAAAACATGATCATTCCTGCCCTCAGATTTCTCTGTGAGTATTGTATCCCCCTCCCTAGGCAGCTCTTGAGCAGTTCAAACTTTTATTAGGGCCCGCTCATTTAAATATACATCCTAAAGATAACACTCGCTCAGACACCCAGACTGGATCATTTGAGAAATGATAACACTAATTACAAGAACAAGCCCTAGAGACCTCTCTCTTTCTGAAAATTAATCTGAAGGCAAGTGCAGAAACAGAGGAAAGGAATATGAAACAGCAGAGTAGGATAAAAGCTCTCTCATAATATTTCTAAAAATTCTGGTTATTGAAGGGGGTGGAGATCCACTTCTAGAAAATCAAAGCTTCCATTCTTTACCTGCAACTTCTTTTCAGAATATATTCTGGGGACCTGGGCAGATTTTGTTGGAAAGTGAACAATGTCATATTAAATGACTTCATATTCACCATGACACAGGTAATTTTCTCCTGATAAAATTTCTTTTATAGAGCTGACCTTTTGGATTCATCTTCTTTGAAAGTTTGGACGGGGGCAGCAATAATCTGCTGATGTGTTGAAGGCCACAGTCCCTTCCTTACCTGTAGTAACAATCTCTCATCGCCTATGACGGCAGCTTGGTTCCAATTAATCACTTCAGAGAATGGCAGCTCCCATCCATTGCTGAGCATCACAGGGACACAGGCAGCCTGAGCAAAAAAGGGAACTTTGTGAATGTGAGGAAAGCGACAGCAGAAACTGTTCCAATCAGAGGTGAAATCAGTACAATTTCAATGACTGGCATTTTTGACACTGCATGAATCCTGGACTGCCTAGGCCAGAAGGAAAGGAAGCTTTTATGAGTTATCAAGTCACATGAAGGTTGTATGTGCCTAGACTAGATTTTCATATTTGCAAGTCTTGCCCTAGAATGCTAAAACCCCATTTCTATTCTAGTATATGGTTTGGCTGACCTTACTTCCGTGGAGATGACTGGCCTTGCTGGAGAAGTTTTTATTGACATAACAAAAGCTTGCACCAACAAAATCTGAGCATAAAACAACCTTGAATATAAATGGTCTTGTCAATGTAACTGCCATAAGTCCATGGTGCAAGGTGGTTTACCCCAATGTCATGGGCAACAAAGAGCTGAATGGAGCTCAGCATTCCTATGCAGCGTTTTGTAGACTTAACCAGTATAGTGTTCACATTTCCCTTGCTCTGCAAACACCTAAACTAGAACCTTGTTCCCTTCAGTGAGGAGTGATCTAAACCACAGTCACACCAGTTTACTGTCTGTGCCAGGAAATAAACAGCCAAGAAACACTAGGTTAATGACAAAGTACTTATTCCAAATAACTCATAATCCAAACCAGAGAACTATTTTTTTATGCAACATCCCAGGAGGCTACAAGAACATTCGTGATGGCAATCTATGCAGAACACACAGAGAACACTTGGAAAAGACATTCCAGAGAAGGAAGCTCTTCTGTGGGAGGACATGGCAGAATGATTTGCAGTTGAGATGGCAGAGATAAGATGTTATGAAGCACTGTAGCAAAAGCATGGCATGGTATAGGGCATAGAGGAGGAAAGAACACAGTAGCAGGAGGTCGAGGAATGCAGGATGAGAGAAGGTGAGGGCATGCCTTCTTGTAGCAATAGAAGAAGGCTGGTTGTAACTTCCAGGTGGGAAATGTAGATGGCTGTCTCAAGAGAACATTTCTGCAGAGTGAGGTTGATGAGCTGAGAAACTCCCACCACAAAGGCTCCAGGGCTGGAGCCAAGACCTCTGAACTGCAGAGCCTTGGAAGAGCTGGGCCAAATGAGTGGCACCACCATGCCGGGAATCATTCTCAAAATTTAAAGGAACTGCGAGACAATGAGGATGCCGGCAGAACAGACAATTTTGCTTTTAGGGAGTACCACGAATAAAGGGAAAGAGCAGGGCTGCTTTCTAGATTCCAGCTAGGCTGCCTGGCAGGCCAAGTTGGCAATCAGATTTGCCTTCTGCAAACATGACCCATTTAATTTCTTACATCTAAAGTTACTGAGTAAGTCCCCCCTGCACCCCTCACTTTTCAAAAATGTTTTAGATTTTCTTGAAAATAATTTCAGATCCTCAAGGGAAACCACACTTTCTCTTTAGCTTATCCCAGGAGAGGTGACAATGTTAAACTCACTTAATCTGGCTTCAGTCCTCAGCGCTATTCTAGGAAGGTTCCAGGGCCTCTTACCTGCAAAGCCTCCAGGAATCTGAAGGACCCAAGCCTGCGACCACGAGGAACCAGACAGAAAGTGGCATTGTGCAGCATTTCCCGATAATCATACCTAGAAAGAGAGGAGGAATAATCAGCAAATAAAGACCCGTTGGGAATGTGGGGATGTTGACCATATGTGGGTGCCCACGTGAGTGAATTTACACAGAGCAACTAGGGAAAGCCACTAGCAGGCAGCTCTCACTTTTCTGTTTTGAAGAAGGAGGTTGGGTTACTGCATGAAGAACAATCATGATTCATCATGTTGGACAAAAAAATTAGGATCCCTTTTGCAAGCAGTATATATAAAGACAAGTCTGATTGTTCTGGCAACCCTTTGGTTTGCCCAGTCTATGCTTCCAAAATCAGATTTTAGAGTCTTGATAAAATATGTTGCCCCATAGGCTTAAAAAGGAAAAAAAAATACTGCTGCTTCTCCTTCTCCTTTAATAACATGGCGTTCAGCAAAACTAAGACTGTCTTGTTCCCCACTCCTTCAAAGCCATGCTGTTACAAACGATCCAGGAACCCTCTATCACAAGCACAAAACAATATTTGTTTTCTACTTCAAGATGGAGTTTCTACAGTTAACCAAGAACATTCAGTTACCCAGGAAAAATATTCCTGTTTAAGAATGGCTGACATAACTTACAGATAAAAGAGGAAGTGAGAGGGAAGGATGCTAGCCTAAGAAAGAGAAAAAAAAAGAAAAAGAGAAAAAAAGAAAAACGAGAAAAGAAAGGAAAAAACAAACCCCGGAAATAGTAGGGGGTACAGGAAACTGGTCTACAGAAGAGATGAGTTTATTTTTTTATTTTACTTAAATACCATTTAGCAGTATTACGTTGCTTTTGCATTTTGAAAAAAAAAAAAACAAAATACGAGTGTTACCTGTCTCTTTACACTAGTGAAGTTTAAAAAAGATAAAATGCATTTCATTTTGTTTACGACTGTTGCTTTTAAAGTGATTGCCATAAACACATTCCTACATAGGGAGTTTCAAGTATATGATGAGTTTAAGAGAAATTGAGAAGGTAGACATGGCTCATGTCCTGTAAGGGCCCTGATTCTTGGAGCCAAGATGAAATCACTCTCATTTTTCAAAAGCTTCCAATGCTGAGCAGACAGGTGTGACTTTGACAGTAGCATATGTCACCACCATTTTCTGACTCTAATAGTCTAATTTAATCATAGCCTAAAGGCACTGAATTCCTCCCTCTTCTTTTTGGGATATTGGTATATATCTTTATATTTTTAAAGTCCACATCTATTTTTATATTCTCATATAAACTAGGCATATGAGAGTAAGCCAATTTTCAATTATAAACCCGTCATTAAGAAGAGACGTCATGCAAGGGACCATTTGCTTAAACAAGCGTGTACAACTAATTTGCACAAGAAAAGGTCACCGTGAATAGATTAAGATTATCTCCATTGAGAGTAAAAATTTTTTAAAACCCTTCCTGCATTAATTAAATTGCAAAATAGACATCAAAGTAAAAAAGATTTTTAAAAAGGCTTGAATTTTGTTAAATAAAAAAATTATACATTAGATGGTAGTGATTTCTTCTTCCTCACCCAACATAGCTGACAAATATCTTCAAGTTCAAATGTTGATAATGTCTGAATCTCTGCGCCTAATAGATGGAGAAGAGAGAAATGTGTACACACACACACACTCTCAGAAAAATATATGCATAAAGTTTAAGCTGATTTTTTTTTTAATACAGAAAGGTCAAATATACTTCAGACTGCAGCAAAGTTTAATAAGTGCCCAGAATAGAAACCCCTGAGGGACTAGCAACGAAGGTCCTACATCCTCATCATTAGCCTACTAAAAATGTAAAACCCTATTAATGTTCTTCGTTGTAACAAGTTTCAGAGTTGTTAGTTGCAGAATTTACTTTAGGGAGTGCGTGGAAGAAGAGAAAGGGCAGAAAACTTACAGGAAAAATTCAAATGACAGTTATACCGGGTTGCTGACTTTTAAATGGTTATATAGAAGGACTCTGTGCTGATATAGCAAGTAAAGAAGTACATCGAAGCTTGTATTCCTGCATATAATAGGAAATATTAGATGTGAGAAGAATACCCTTGCAAGAGTAGCTGTGAGACTTAACAAAACCCATGAGCTTTCTGTTTCCTTATCTACAAAATGAACTCGTTGGGCTAGATGACTACAGATTCAGTTTTAATATTCGGTTATTCTTTATCTTATCGTTTTAGGTAAGAAAGAGAAGCATCCTTTGAAACTATTCCACTACTTAGAAGGTTTCCATACCGTATATATTTATGTATCTGTTCATATGTATGCAGTGCATGTCTAACATATGTGTGTATTCACATAAAGACACACAGGTACATACAGAACATATACACTCATACCTCAGAACAATGGTTTTCATTCAGATTTCTAAGCATACTGAGCCCATGAACCAGCCTCTCTTCTGCTCCCTGGACAGTGAATCTATGAATAACCATCATGTTCTACCTGAAGGAAGAATGGCAGGTAGAACCTGTCTGAAGTGGGCAGACAATGATTCTAGTTTGACCACGTGGTTGGTCCTCTCCCACTCAGTCCATTGTGATGCTTTTTCACACTCCACATCAATCTCCTTGCAGATGCTTAAATCTCATTTATTCATTCATTCTCTCAGGAAATACTGTTTCAGACACTATCCTATTTCAACTGATGGAGTACAGAGAAGGGATTCTCTAGTTGCTGGAGCTACCAAGGCAGCACCTGACAATGAGAAAATGCTGATGAGATGAAAATTTAAGATCTAAACATCTCCTGGGAGTACTTGCACTATAAGAGGAGATATGGAAGGCCGGCCTTCCAGAAGAAACACGAAGAACTCTGTGGACACTCTTCCCAGGAAAACAACAATTTAGTAACAATCGTAAAAACATTTTAAGTCTCTGCAAATTGTCCTAAGGGCATAACGACAAATAGAGAAACAGTCATTCAAGAAAATCTACCAAATTTTGGCGAGTACCCTGAGAGTCTGTGGCATCTGGGCCCTGACCTGTTCCATGACCAACTCCTACTAACTCTGCCTTACAGGAGCTTTACTCTGGGGGAGTGGAGTCGGGAAGACTGGGCTCCCCATCCCTCCAGCTTCCATCAAGAAAGTGAAAAAAAGGCTACAGACAGAAGGAATGGGCCAGGTGAGATGGCTCACACCTGTAATCCCAGAACTTTGGGAGGCCGAGGCGAGCACATCACCTGAAGTCAGGAGTTCAAGACCAGCCTGGCCAACATGGTAAAACCTCATCTCTACTAAAAATACGAAATTAGCCAGGCATGGTGGTGCATGCCTGTAATCCAGCTACTCAGAAGGCTGAGGCAGGAGAATCGCTTGAACCCAGGAGGCAGAGGTTGCAGTGACATTGCACTCCAGCCTGAGGAACAAGAGCGAAACTCTGTCTCCAAAAAAAAAAAAAAAAAGAATGTATTTGCCAATCATATATATGAAAAGGGACTTTCATCTAGAATACATAAAGAACTCTTCTGACTCAATAATAAAAAGACAAATAATCCAATTTTAAAAGAGGCTAAGAATTTGAATAAACGTTTTTCCAAAGAAGACACACAAAGTGCTGATAAACACATGAAAAGATATTCAACATCAATAGTCATTAGGGGAAAGCAAAGCAAAATTACAATGAGATACCACTTTACACCCACTGGGACGGCTGTAAGCAAAAAGACAGATGAGAGCAAGGGCTGATGAGGATGCAGAGAGATTAGAACCCTTCATACATTTCTAGCAGGAAGGTAAAATGCAGCCACTTTGGAGAGTAGTTTGGCAGTTCTTTTTCAAAGTAAAAATGGGTTTACCATATGACCCAGTAATTGCACTCTTGGGCATGTATCCCAGAGAAATGGAAACTTATTTTCACGTGGAAACTTGTCCACAAGTGTTCACAGCAGTTTGGTCTATAATAACCTCAAACTGGAAGCCTCTCAAATGTCCTTCAATGTGTGAATAATTCAACACATTGTGGTACATTCATAGCTTAGAATACTTCTCAGCAATCAAGTGGGACAAACTATTGATACACATGACAACTTCAAGGAAATTATGTTGCATGAAAAATTCACCCTCAAAAGCAAACATTCTGTAGTATTCCTTCTATATGACATTCATGAACTCACATAATTATAGGGGTAAGGAACACTTAGAAGTTGCCATTGGTTTGGGGTAGCGTAGAAAGACAGGGAGACTTGACAGGTCAAATGGGGGGACACAATGTTTTAAGATGGACTAATTCTCCTTTATTTTTTACATTTAGAAAAGTGAATTACATTATCACACACTACTTAAAAGAAACATACATGATCCTAAGCAAGAAGGTAAGTAGGTTAGAGAGACAACTAATCCCAGATAATTTGCTGCTCTAATCAATAAATGGTTTTGCTACCCTTTTCAGATGGGTGTTAAGTTCCCCACTGTGTAGGTAAAGGATGACAAAAGGTGGGGAGGGGCAGAAAAAAAATATATATAAAGGATGACAAAAGGTAGAAGAGTTTTCACAAACTTCTATAAAGAAAAATGCAACAAAAATGACATGACCTTGAATTTAACCTAGCAACTAGCACCACTCTATGGTCATAATACTTTTATCCTTAAAGCTGTATTGAACAATGTATGGGATACAAGCCATTTAAAGAGGACTACTTTAATGCACAGTTGAAGTCCCATCCCTCTGTATGAAACACATGTTTGCTGGCAGCCATTCTGTGCAACTGGGAAAGATGGGGCAGTGTGGCATAGTGCAGGGGTTCTCAACGTGTGTCCTTCCAACCAGCGGCAACATCTGCATCATCTGGGAACTTGGTAGAAATGTAAATTCTCTGCCTCGCCCAAACCCGCTGAATCAGAAACTCTGGGGGAAGAGCCCAGAATTCTGTGTTTTAACAAGCCCTCCAGATAATTATGATGCACCCTAAATTTTGAGAACCACTGGCACCAAAGTTAAGAGCTTAGTAATTAAAAGCTTTGTGGTTAGGCAGCTTTAGACACAGCCACATCTGGGTTCGAATTCCAGCTTTTCAATTTACAAACT